GGGGGTGTCGACCGCTGCTATAGTTAGCCAAACGCTTATTATTGAGAAGGAGGGAATTTCGTTAATTTAAAGACTGACCAGTCCAAATTTCGTTTTTTTAGACGTCTAATGTTTATCTTGTTAAAATGTGATTTTTTCTGAACATTTTGAATTTAAAAACTGGTTATTTTTTCAATACAACTGTTATTCTTTATGATCTCCTACCAGCGATTAGTAATGTTTAAAACAATATCGATTTGTATCAACACCAGTTTTCCATTAAATTATGCATTTAAACGATAGAAGGCGAGGGGGGGGGTTCTAAAAATCGGAAAAAGTGCCTTACGTAATTCGTGGACGGCCCCTGTCTAGAAATTGTGCAATCGTATTAATTTTCTGCGAGGAACAACGAAAACTGCCAGCTGTTTTAAACGTTCTTCCAAATTTTGTCTCTTGATAACACAATAGACAAGGGTGATAGACCCTAGATGAGCTCGATATATTTAGATTTTGAAAATATGACCCAGGTTTTTTTATACATATTGTGTGATTATATTGTGATTATTGTGTGATTGATAAGTTGCGAATTCTCCCATTTAACTAGTGTAAATTATTTTTTGTCACAGTGCGTTCTGGTGTGTATTGGGCCGATTGCCATGATTTTTGCGGCTATCGACAGGTAGTAGTCCCTATCTGAGCCCGCTCTATTTAGCTTTTGGAAATATGACACAGGTTTTTGTTATATAAGAGTTGACTGGGGAGCTAAGCAATGTAAGGGGCAGTAAGCGAAATTTGAAATTCCCGCTAACACAGAATGGCGGGAATTTCGAATTCGGCGGAAAATTGGACTAAACGAGAGATGTTGGAGAGCGCGAAAGCGGCCCTGAGCGGCCAGGGGGCATACTTTCTAGTTAAAAGTATTATGATCGCACAATTTTTGGACAGGGCAATGGAGATTGCTGGTTTTGGTTCTGGACGCCTCAAATATCTACATTACGAGTTTTGAAAATGAAAGTACTTATTTACGATGGTTCAGCACTCTTAACATGTGTCACGCAGAGAAATGTGAGTGGAATGGAGTCGCGTTCTGTAGTCTCAGAAAGGATGAATTGGACGAGTCAGTTCTCACAGACTTCGTGGTCAGACTACGGCCGACGCAACGGCTGCCAAGCAACTCTATTAGTGACGCCTGACAAATGCATCTATTCTTGTTCTTCGGTCGTCCATGTTGCATCCAAGAAAATGTAGGCGCTCTTGTTTTTTTGCGCTCACACTAAGGACACAAGGTACTCAAGGTGTACTTGTATTTCTATCTAATCGTAAGAGACAAAGGCTCACACAACTCTTCAATCGTGTGTGCTTGTCGCAGTCCATCTGTCAATGCGGGCGTCGCGCTAAGCGATCATTCGGGAGAGCGGCGTGCAAAATAAGGAAACTGGACGTTCAAAAAAGCACAACTGGAGATGCGAGAAACGAAGGTGATATATTCTGAATACGGAAAACACAAATGTGGTGGATGGAAATGGATAAAAAGACTAGATGCCGTGACAGCATCCTTTCGAGATAAAACGTTTCAAAAAAAGATGGCCTAAAAAAAGTGAGGAGAACTCCACAATACTCGCGGCGTCATCCGGCTCACCGCCTCCCCCAATCACCGTTCAGCTTAGGTGTGACGTCATTGACCAATGGCTGGGCGTGGGACGGGACAGGCGGAGAGTCGTTGACATCCCCCACGTTTTGGGAGATTGCGACCGCGCAATCCAAATGGGAGAGGGGGGGGTGTTCTGATAAAATTGTGAAGTATTTATGTGTTGATAATAATTAAGTTACAAACCTAATGGGAAGTGGCTGGAACTAGGCCGGGGCCTTTACATGGTGTTTCAGCTTAAGATTGGGGGGGGGGGGGGT